TTCAAAATAAAAGCAACTGAACTGGGATCAGCTTGTGTTCTTTCAAAATAAAAGCAGCTGGACTGGGATGAGCGTAATGTTCTTTCAAAATAAAAACAGTTGAACTGGGATCAGCTTCGGTTCTTTCAAAATAAAAGTTGCTGAGTAGACTGATCAGATCATGTTCTTTCAAAATAAAAGTTGCTGAGTAGACTGATCAGATCATGTTCTTTCAAAATAGAAGCCGCTGAACTGGGATCAGTCTAAGACGTGAATGAAACAATGAGCATGAGGAAGAACTCGGTCATGAGGTCAGTTCTTCATTAGACTTTATTCCTCTGATGTAATAATACTATGTTAGAACCTCATTAATACTCATTAATACTCATTAATACTCATTACCCTTATAACCCCACCCCCGCGGGTCACATGACGGAGGCCGGGCCCGGGCGGGGTTATCGAGCAGCCCCTCCTCTCAGAACGGGATGCTGGTTAGCTTCGGGTTAGCTTAGCCTAGCTTAGCTCCGGTAACGGTAACCGGTTCATTTACCGTCCGCTTCTCTTGTGTCGCGATGACGTGAAGCAGCGTCAGTCCGCGGCAGGCTGAGCTAACGGGGCCGGTGTGTTCGGGCTCGTTGTTCGGGTTAGCTGCCTGTGCTAGCCCTCCTCTGTTAGCTGTTTACCAGGAGCTATCCTCGGGGGACACGGACAACCAGCGGCCGGTCTAAGTTCCGGTGAATCCTCGGCGGCAGCGTCGCACATGATGGACGGAGCCGCGCTGCTGTAGGAGCCGAGGAGGCTCCTGGTGGAGTTAGCATCAGGCCTGAACACCAACACTGCTCCCCTCCTCCCTTCCTCCCTTCTTTCCTTTCTCCCTTGCTTCCTTCTTCCCTTCCTCCCTTCCTCCCTCACCATGGAGTCCGGCCTCAACCCGCTGCCACAGTTCCCGGAGAACTCCTATAAAAGTAAGTGATGTTGGTGTTGACGTGTTTCACACCTGTAGGCTGCCCTGTACAGGTGAGGTGTTGACCTTTGACCCCTGCAGTGACCGAGGAGGACGTGAAGAGGCTGATTGAGTTCAGGGCGTCCAACGAGGCTCTGTTCACCGGGAAAAGAAACTCTGCCAAGATAGCGTGGAGGTATGAACCTGCATCCTGTAACATGGTGTAGCATGTTTCCTCTGCCGCTGAGTGTGGTTCTCCTCCACCTCCTGCAGCACCATCCTGAAGGTCCTGGGTCTGGAGGGGAAGCTGACCGCAGACCAGATCGCCAAGAAGTGGGACAACCTGCGAACCAAGTACAAGGTAACGTCCACATCTCAGGAGTGTGCAGCAGATAGCTGTGTCCACATGCAAGTTCTCACTACACAACTGTCACTGGATCACGGTTCACACCTCCTGACGTGTGGTCGGGAGTCTTGTAGTGAGTGAACTGATCCTCCTCTGTACCATCTCGCTACCAAACCACCACGGAGGAGGTGAAACACTTCGATGGACGTCAGAGACTCGTCCAAACCCGACCTGAACCACACACGCATTCTGTTTCTTCTGCCTGAGCACGATGCACACTGCATGTTACTGACCCTCACACACGAGGTTATTGTTTCATTTCTCTGATGACAGACTCGTGCAAATCATTAAAAACCGTTAAGTGTGAACAAGACTAAGAACAGAACTGCTGCTGCAGCAGCTGATAACTTCTGTTCTCTATCGTGTGTGTGAGGGTTTGATTGTGAGAAACACTTGTGATGGACGAAGTTAAACCTGCGACAGGACAGACGACACATCTGCTGCATCAAAGACTGTCAACTGATTATTAGAGATTTGTTACCACCTCAACAACAGTGATGTTCAAATTATAAAATATAAATTCAACAATAAATTATATTAATATTAAAGCAGATGTAACCAGTCACAGTCTGTCCAAATAGTTCAAACTTCATCAGTTCATATCTTCTTAAATGTTGTTCAGAGACACGGGACATGTGTGTTGTTCAGAAACAAACATTGTAATTCTCACATTTTTTCTGTGAAGGCTATTTAAATAAGATTTAATCTGGAAACGTGTTTGCAGGTGCGATGTACCTGTATGAGCCTGTAGGTGTGTGTAAACCTGGTTGTGTCTCCCAGGACCTGAAGCAGCCCTATCAGGGTCAGGACAACATGGGGGGTGTCGTGGAGTCGTGGCCGTGGTTCCACATCATGGATGAAGCCATGCAGGGTCGACTCTACAACAGCAACCTGGTGCTGAGCCTGGAGCCCGCCACCAACGCTGGTCACCACGGCAACAGCCAGTCAAGCCAGACCCAGGAGAACACTGACATCCTGGAGTTCCTCATCAAGACCGAGATGGAGGATACAGTGGCAGCGGAGACGGTGGAGGACGATGGGACGGCCCACACGGAGGCTCCTCCTACAGAGGGAGTCCCAATGGGCTGGAGGAGGATGACCGAGTGCTCGTATAAAAGTAGGCAGCTCCTCTTTCTGTTTGTATGTAGAGTTTAGATGTTTCTATACTTTCAGCCCTAAACCCAGCGTTTGCTTGATCTGTTGAAAGTTTTCTTTTTCTCTGGAACTCAAACACTTTGTTTCTCAGCTCGTTATTTAAACATCTTCCTCTTCTTCAAAGTGACTGAACCAGAAACTGAGCGAATGATCAAACTTCGAGCTGCGAACGAAGCGCTCTTCACTGGCAGGAAACATTCAGCCAAACCGGCCTGGAGGTGAGACACTGTCTAGTTCATCACCCACTCTGTGGCAGTGATAGCGCCACCACGTGGTGAGCAATGAGCAAGAGAGAGCTGGAGTAGAACAATGGGCCTCATTCGTTAACATGTGCACAGAAATGTTCTTACTCTCCGCCACCGGATTCATGACACGTGCGCACCTGTTGATTTTGTTCTCAACACCATGCGGATGTTTGTGGATCAGAATCATTCTAGATTGATTTGTCAGTGTTTGTCGTGAAGAGAGCGGTGCAAAGAACAGAGACGACGAAGTTAGAAGAGAGAAAAGGAAAAACACTGAAGAATCTCACAGCAGCAAATGAAGTAACTGTGTGTGAGGAACACTTCTCTGTAGCCTCCAGAGGTGACGATGTTTAAACAAATTTAACTGATGCACTGAATCTGTGTCCTGCTGCGTTCTACCGTATTTTTTTGTGTAGTTTTACTCTCGTTGAGTTAAGAACAGAAGATGTCACAGCTCGTTAAAGCCTATGCGACAAATTGTGATTTGTGAATATTGGATATACAAAAAAAATGTGATTGATTGATTGAAAAGGGGGTGTGTTTAAATTTTTCAGGACAGCCGGGCCTGCGTATGAGGAAGTTCTAAATTTGTGGGTAAAGTAAGAACATATTGATGAATCCCAGATTCACACACTTTAAGCACAGATTTTTGAATGAGGCCCATTGGATTCAGTGGATGATGCTGAAGAAGAGACTCCCTCTCTTACATCTTTCACCCAAACCTCTGATTGTCTCGTCATATATGGTCTTTCCATTATTGGCTGGCAAACTTTTGTGTTGTGGTCTAAAATTCTACCTGTTAACTCTTGAATCAAGACTTGATCATGCAGTCAAGCCACTAGAGGGAGCTATTGGTTAACAAAAACAATACAGTACAAATATTACAAAAAAAAGAAACGTCTCGCAACACCACTTAAAGAATCAAACATGACGTGGACATATAACGAGTTCATTTCTTATCGTTAACGAGTTCCTTATTAATTTCATGAGGAGTCACTAATATCTTAAAATCTTAAAACAGTGGAAACCTGAGCCGGTGAATTGATGATCATCTTTATTCCAGTGGTCTGTTTTTAAAATGAGTCTGGACGATACAGACATTAGTTCTTTAAGTTTGCTCTGAGTGTCATCGCTGTTTTTGAGTGGTCAGTTTTTTTTGTCTGTTGTCCTGCGGTCAGGGATTGAACCTGAGCATCATGTCTTGCAGAGCCATTCTGTACGAGCTAGGTCTCCAGGGGAAGCTGACCACTGATCAGTTAGCCAAGAAGTGGGACAATCTGAAGAGGAGATACAAGGTAGGTGCAGCCGCCTCCGCTCCTGAAACCACTGGCCCTCTCTAACACTTGCCACAAAGCAGCTCAGAGTGCGACGCAGCGCATTTCTCTGGTTTCAGATGAACGGGCCCGAACATAAAGGCTGCACCTCTGAAAAGTGTGAGAGCATTAGGAGTCACTTCACAGTTTGTATTACCTGACATGTTAGAGCAGAGTTTAAGAGGAAGTAACCGTGTAGAGACGCCGCGGCGTTCCCGTGGGCCTCGGGTAACAGTAGCTGGAGTTGGTGGCAGTGCTGGCAGGAGGTTAAGGTCCCTCTGTGGACGATCTGTAGAGTTTTCTGTCTCTACCAGGAGCTGAAGTTTCCTGCTCGAGGAGTGGAGACGAACCCCAGCTCCTGGCCCTGGTTCTACCGAATGAACGACGCCATGGAGGGACGATTTGCCAACGTTGCTCCCATCCTAACGCCCATTGTGGAGGACGAAGATGAAGACTGTGAGCCTCTGTCCCCAGCGCCCAAGAAACGAGCCCGCCGAAGCCGAGGGGGGATGGCGGAGTTTCTGACGGAGTCGGAGATGGACCTGCTGGTGGACAATGAGGAGAAAAACGGGTCCACGGCTTTGGGAGAGCTGCACCGGATGTCGGAGTTCACCTATAAATGTAAGAGTGATAGAAAACTGAGTCAAATCAGGTGGACGCTTGATTTTTGATTTAAAATGATATTTGTGACATTCATGGATGTCATGACTTTGTTTTTTCAGCCTTCTGAGGTCATAAAGTCCTAAAAATCTTTAGATTATGTTTTTATCAGCAAATCCTCATTAATTTGTATCAATGAATCACTTGAACATTGGGAATAATGAAATGATCACAGGTCAGAATATCATCATGTATGTTCAGTCAACATCCTGACAGGAAGTGTTAGCTTCGCTTTGTGTTTGCCGCTAGTAGTCGAGTCATGTGACTGATGAGAACCAATCAGAAGAGAACGTGGGCGTCACCGGTTACAAGAGTTTCTGTTCTGCCAGGAGTTGTTTCCTGTCAATATCCAATGAAGACAAAATGCTTTGTGATCATGAAGTTCCCGCGTCTGTCTTCGTTTGCAGTGACAGAAGACGACACCAGGCGACTGATAGAGTTACGAGCTGCTAACGAGTCTCTGTTCACCGGGAGGAGAAACACTGCAAAGCCGGCCTGGAGGTAAAGGAGCACGAAATACCTAATGTGAAATGTACGTGATATTTGATTAAAGAGTTTGCTGGGTGTAAATTTGGGGAATTATTCAGTAATAGAAGCTAAAACAATGTCAGTCATCAAGACGCAGCACAGAAGTAATCTGAACTGAAATAAAGTCTGAGGACAAATGATTTTATTTATAGTTACAAACCATTTGCACCAGCTGGTACGTTTCAGCTATCTTTTTGGAGCGTTGGCTAACACCACGGTCCTCCGCCACACTGATGTCTGCAGGGATTCTGGAGGCGCCATGTTTTTTGGAATCTGTCGCTGTCACATCCAGCCCCGCCTCCTCCGCCCTTTCAGCCTCCTGTCCAGTCAGCACTAGCATTTTCAGTTAGCATCCCTTAAACGATGCGTTGTTCAGATCTGAGGCTGAGGTTTCATTTTACTGAGTTGAGTTCGTCTACAGGGGGATAGTGAAGGAGATGGGTCTGACGGGGAAGATAACACCAGACCAGGTCGCCAAGAAGTGGGACAACCTGAAGACCAAATTCAAGGTGACGTGTGTGATCGTCCTGCATCTGACAACAGGACACCCCTCTGTCTAACTGACTGTCTGTCCTCCTGTCTGCAGGACCTGAAGTTTCCGCCCCGGGGGATGGAGAACCAGACTAACCCGGCCTCCTGGCCCTGGTTCCACCTGATGAATGATGCCCTGGAGGGACGTCTGTCGGGCAAAGCTTCCAGAGTGACACCCGTCTGGACCAATGAGGAGGACGCCGTCTTTGGCTCGTCTCCTCCTCCCGACAGTTTGATGGCAGAAAGGAGCAGCGTGTCGGAGCTGGAGAGTATGGTCGGGGGGGACAACACCGAGTCTGATGGGAACGTCACCTACATCGACGCCAGTGGAGAGGAGTGTTCAACGCCCTCTGACCTCTCATACAAAAGTAAGACAAGTTTCCTGGAGAAAATGTTAACTTCAACTTTTCAGCTGTGTAAAACTGTCCACACGTGTCTCACAGTGAGCGACCAGGACACCAGGATGATGATTAAACTACGAGCGGCTAATGAAGCCTTGTTCACCGGGAGGAGAAACGCTGCCAAGGCCGCCTGGAAGTGAGAGACTGATACAGATAAAACTCACAGCAGCTCAAGTTTCAGATTTTAGATGTCGTCTGAATCTGTGCTCTCTCTCTCTCTCTCTCTCTCTCTCTCTCTCTCTCTCTCTCTCTCTCTCTCTCTCTCTCGCTCCCTCTCTCTCAGGGCCATCCTGAAGGAGCTGGGGCTGCAGGGGAAGGTCTCAACCTACCAAATGGCAAAGAAATGGGACAACCTGAAGAGGAGATACAAGGTTACACACTGATTCAAGATAAATCTGGAGCTCATACAGGCCGATCTGTTCCAGAGCATAGTTCCACTAAAGAACTTCGGTCCATCATTTTATTGTAATCGAGTGTTTAAAGTTACTTGATTAGTTTCATTCCTGTTGTACATGAAGAATGATGGTTAAGACATAAAGACCTCTCTCTGTCTCTCTCTCTCTCTCTCTCTCTCTCTCTCT